TTTCTGGAATAAAAACGGAGTTTCTGAAATAAGTCTGCCTAACCAGAAACAGGCCGTAAGGATATACCGAGGTAGGCCCCTCCTTCTTGCTTTTATACCAGGGATCAAAACCAGGGCCTCTTGCATGCTAGGCCAGCCTTCTACCACTGAGCTACTGGCCAGCCCAGGTATTTAATTAACTACGCCATCAAACTCTTTGATGGAAAGCTGAGCATAACTCTATATGATCAAGGCTGGTCCCTCCCCTCTTGTGAGCTACGTTTCTAAGGGAGCTGCCGACTGCAGCTTGCTGCTGGGGTTTCCCCGGCCTCCATGCCCATGGTGAGTCTCTGACCTCAGCAAGCCCCGCTCTGTGGGAATGGGAGGGCCTGCGTGCAGAGACCTCAAATGGCTAGCTGGGGAGAGAATGGAGTCAGCAGAGATCCACTTAACAACATGAACCCCGCAATGCCGAGTCTCTCTCCTCTGTAGCCCGAACATGGAGTAACAGAAGGTGCTGGGCGTTCAATGCCGGTTGCTACCCAGAGCTGATTGCATAACACTATACTTCACCTCCGCCAAGACATTGAGGGAATGCTGTTGTGTTTCCCTTTTACACATTTCCCTTTTCTTTTTGCTGTTTTGTCTGTTGACACAGGGTTTATGATATATAGCCCTGGCTAGCCTCAGACTTGTGATTCTCCTGCCTCAGCTGTCTAGGTGCTAGAATTATAGACATGTACCACTACGCTCAGGCACAGAGGGGTTAAGTCATCTGACCAAAGTTACACAGTCATCAACTTGATGGAGCCTCAACCCTAAAATGACCAATGCATCTTGATCTGCGTCGCACTTTCCTGGCTTCATCACTTGACTGTATAGCATCCTAGAGTCCCTTGATAGTGGGCAGCTTTCATTTTCACTAAGTAGAAGGGAGAGGGGACGTGTGCTCGCACCACAAGTCAGGACTAAGCATCTTTTTTTTCCTTTGGTCAGTTGTGGGGTTTGAACGTAGGGCGCTTTCCCTGAGCTTTTTTGCTCAAGGCTGTTGCTCTACCACTTTAAGCCACAGTTCCACTTCCTGTTTTTGAGTGGTTGATTAGAGATGAGTCTTTTCTGCCTCCAGACTTTTCTGCCCAGGCAGAACCTCTGTCATCAAATCTCAGCCTCCTGAGTAGCTAGGATTGCAGGCGTGAGCCACAGTGGCTTTAACTGTTCATTTTGTTAGGAAAAACATGTTTCTCAGAGTAGGCAGGCTGTGTTCCCAAGGCTACACAGCTACTGGGAGGGAAAGTTGGGACACATATTGAGGTGTGTCTTCTGCTCTGGCTGAGGCTGCTAATCCCCGAGTTAAACTGAAAACAGAGCTGGCCGCACTTAAGTCAAAGCGAGCTTAGTGCTGGGTGCTGTGGCTAACCCTTGTAATCAAGAGGCTGAGATGTGGAGGACCACAGTTGGAAACCAGTCTAATGAACCGGCAAAAAGCCAGGCTGGAGGTGTAGCTCAAAGGGGAGAGTGCTAGCTGAGCAAACAAGCCAAATAATTGTGAGGTCCTGAGTACTGGCACAAAAGAAAAGCAAACTTAGAGGTCTCTCTAGAAATGTCTTTTTTTTCCCCTACTGAATAAGAGACCTGAAGTTGGATCTGATAGGATCCATCTTTAACAAAATTCTGTGACTCCACTTTCAGGAAAGGGAATATGGCTGGGTCATTTGAGAAACCATTAAAACCTCTGATGGTGAAATCTTCCTACATCCCCAACTTCCCCAGCCTCCTGGTACTGGGATCGAACCCAACACCGGCTAGGCAAGCACTCTACTACTGAGCTACACATCCCCAGCCCTTTTTATTTCCAGACAGGGCTTTAAGTCTGTAGCTCAGGCCCAGCCTCAAACTTTCCTCCTGCGAGCTGGGACTGCAGGTGTACATCACAGGGATCACCTCCCACCCAGACGCCATCCCACAACGGAGGCACGCCAGCCCCGCGTCACGGGCGCTTGCCTTGTACTGGGTGATGTTGGAGGCGTGGGGGAAGTGCAGCGTGGCCACAAACAGGTGGACATAGTCGCTGTTCAGCCCGCCCTCGTAGATGTTCTCCGCGATGATCTTGCTCACGAAGTTCTTGCCGGTGCCGGTCCACCCGTGTAGGGAGAGGGTGAGGGGTTTCTTGGGCTTCGGGTTGCTCAGGAAACCAGACACGGCGTTTAAGATGACTTTCTTTGCGAGATGCTGGCCGAAGAGCTTGCTGTCCAGATCCTTCTGCAGCGCTGGGGAAAGACAGAGCCAGTCAGGACAGCTGGAGAGAGCGATCCCCCCCGCGAGCCGGAGGGCAGGCGTGCGCGGCCGCCGCGCCCGCGCCCAGGCCCGGGGAGGTACGGCGGGCGGGAAGCCGACCTCCTCCTCCTCCTCCTCCTCCTCCCCGGGGCGGCCGGGCCGCTCCGTCCCGGCGCCCGCTCCGTCCCGGCGCCCGCTCCGTCCCGGCGCCCGCTCCGTCCCGGCGCCCGCTCCGTCCCGGCGCCCGCAGGCCCCACCACGGCGGGGCGGCCGGGGCGCCCGAGGCCGTCCCGGGCGCTCGGGTGGGGCTCCCCCGCCCCGTCCAGCCTCCGCTGCCGGGGGGACCCGGCTGACAACCGGTCCCGATCGCGGCGGCCCGGCTCCCAGGCCTCCGAGCAAAGTCCGGCCGGGCCGGGCCCGCGGGATCCCGGTGCAGCCGGGCGGCTCCGGCCCCCTCCCGGCCCCCTCCCGGCCCCCGGCGCCCCGCCCGCCCTACCCTCCCGGCTGAGGCCCCGCTTCTGCCCGCAGCACTCGGCGAAGAGGCAGTAGAGGCGCGGGTAGGAGATGTAGCCCGTGAGCACGCCGGCCAGGGCCAGGCCCAGGCTGATGGGCTCCACCGCCCGCACCCCGAGCGGCGCCAGCAGCAGCAGGGCCAGCACGGCCCGGCCCAGCTTCATGCCCGGACCCGCGGCGCCCTGCGCGGTCTGGCGCCGACCGTGGACCCGCACTACCGGCTGACGCGCGCTTCCGGTTCCTCCCGTGCGGCCGCCCTCTTTGTTGAGGGCGGACCTCATCTCGACGCCGGCGGCGGCCATCTTTGTTCAGGGCAGAGCTGGTGCGCCTGGGGCTCCTTCTCCACCCCTTGAAACCTGGCCTCTGGGAACCCGTGGATGGCCTATTTTTTTTTTGGCGCTTTGTTCTCTGTTTTGATTGGTTTGAAACGTCAGACTCTGGGCTAGGGGCGTGGCTCTAGCAGCGAAATGCCTGCCTAGCAAGCACAGGCCCTGGGTTCAAACCCAGGTCCTGGATGCACCGAAAAGGACAGGACACATACCAAAGGCAGAGCTTGTACTTTAGAACACTGTAAGGTTTAAAGAAAAATTGAGAAAATAACAGATTCTGGAGCATCACTCGTTTAATTTCCTCTAGTATGAAAGCGTTAGAATGTTATATTTGTTACAATTAGTGAAACAATGTTGCACCACCACGGGTCTACTCAGATATACTTTCAGCTAATCAGTGTCTTCTTCTGGTAAGGATGCATCTAGCAGACTTCGTCATGCTCGTCATGTCTCAGACTCTCTTGGTGCTGGCGGTTGAACTCTGGACCTCCCACTTGCTTGGCTGGTGTTCTACTACTTTGAACCACGCTCCCACTCCTGCTTTTTGAAGTCTAGAGAACTCAGGGCCTCATGTTTACTATTTGCTTGCACCACTGGTACTACTACTTACACCATGCCTCCATGCCAGCTTTTTGCTGGTTATTTTGGAGATGGAGTCTCTTTTATCTGCCCGGGCTGGCTTTCTACCACCATCCTCATATTTCAGCTTCCTGAGTAGCTAAGATTACAGGCAGGCATGAGCCACCAGCTCCTGGCTTCTCTCCATTGCTTGATGTCTCCTGTATATCATGAAGATCTGGTAGATGTTTGTTCAAATACGCTGGAATCATTTGGAAGGTCCTGCTTTTTCATGTTGCATTACAAACAACAGTAGTGACCATCGAGTGTAAGTCAAACTTGTTAGGCCACATGTTCTACCGCTTCAGCTTCCCCTCTAGCTCTTATCCCCTCTTCCAGGCCCCTGAGGTTCCAAGGAAAAAAATTCTTGCCTTCCCAAACCTTGCGTTCTCATTCTCCACTTTATCGACTCAGAGGGAAAGGAATTTGTCTAAGGACATCATTAGTGGGCAGAGAGCAGGGCTCAGATCTGATTTCTGACCAAGCTTACTTACCTGCTCAACCAGACAGAAGACACTGGCTGCTCTTTCCTCAACCCAACCCCAGAAATGCCACAGGGCAAACGGCAGCCCAGGTGGGAAGGCACTTGACAGCTAACAGGTCAGGGTGTCCCGGTCCTTAGATCTGTTGCAGTAATTTTGTTTTACCAAGGTTACCAAGGACTTGGTAACCCCAGAGACTTCAAAATATCACCAGGTGTGGGTATAAAGAACACAGCACAAGGAGCAAGGTTGGGTTTGGTTTGTGTTTACTAATTATATTCTCAAAGTAGTTAGAAACGCAGTTTTTCCTTTTGATTTATAATCAAAAGAACCAAGCTAAATACGTAAAAGTCAGTATGATCAATATTGCCTTCATTTCATCCTTGATAACTTACTGCCCACCCAGAAAGTCCCCCAACAATGAATGGTTCACTCTAGTGTTTGAAAGCAAAGCACAAGGATGCCTATGTAGTCATAAAAACATATGTAACTGGGTGCAGGTGGCTCATGTCTGTAATCCTAGCCACTGGAGAGGCTGAGATGTGGGGATCACAGTTCAAAGCCAGCCCAGGCAGGAAAGTCAGTGAGACTCTTATCTCCAATAAACCACCAGAAAACCGGAAGTGGCACTGTGACTCAAGTGGTAGAGTGCTAGCCTTGAGCTGAAAAGCTCAAGGACAGTGCCCAGGCCCAGAGTTCAAGCCCTACGACCGACAACACACAAAAACCATGAAGTCCACAACCATCTATCAACCACGAGCACCTGCTAGTTCTGCTCCAGAACAAACTGAAGAGGAAGTCAATGTATTTACAAAGAAAATTTAATAATGTAAAGAAGAGTTTGCCCCCAAATATGAAAACAACACATGGTTTCCTTTCAATAGGTAACACATTTAGTTCTTGAAAAATCCAGTGGGAAATGGAGTGGTCGGGCAGGTCTGTTATTCGGCACTAGCGAGGCAGAGGCAGAAGGCCTGCAAGTTCTAGGCCAGCCTGGGATACACAGGGAAACGAAAACAAACACAGAGTCCAGCAGGCAGGGAGCAGTGCTCTGAGTCTACCTGGGATTGTCCACAGCTATTGGGCAGCTGCTGTCCAGGAGATCTTGTTTTGGGGAATGTGCCATGGGTGCATACATATATACACTCCCTTATGCTTTGGGCGTGTGCACAGGACGCACATATGTACATCCCCCTTTATGTTTCGGGTGTGTGACAGGGTGCACACACACACACACACACACCCTTAATGCTTCGGGTGTGTGCACACAGGTGCAGTGCAATGCAACCTTCGCTTCAACGTCAGTACCTCCTGTTCATCTTCTTGAACTTCTCATAGTGGTAGTCATCCGTGGCCTTCTCGTTGGCAGGACGCTTCCGGTTCGGAGGGGACCCTGAGAAGGAGAGCAGAGAGGCCACTGCTGCCCTGGAATTGGCCAGGAGACCACATTCTCCCCAGAGCCCGGAAGGAAGCGCAGGAAGGTGTCAGGAAAGAACTCTGTATAAGCACCTTTCAACTGGCCTGTGCTGTTTCTACCATGCTCAAAAAGCAAGTGCAGAGGAAAGCTCTGTTACCACCCCATTTTATAGATGAGGAAATCGAGGTTTGGAAAGAAGACATGGGATCCTAGTCCACATCATCAGCTGGAACCCAGACGCCCAGCCCCCAAAACTAGGCTCCACCCCTGCCCAGCCCCAACCCGCCTCATAGCCCCCCAAGGCTGTCCGGCCCAACAGCTGCTCTTACGCTCAGGCTCTGGCTTCTCCGTGTCCCCCACGCGCAAGGGCCGTGCTTTGGGCTCTTCTTTGTTTCTTCGTATGGGAGCGTTGAGCTCCTCGTGATAAACTGGACAAAGAGAGCAGGCGGCACATCAGAGAGAGTGGAGCTCAGCCCCCCTCCCCCGGGCGCGGCATCAGAGAGAGTGGAGCTCAGCCCCTCCCCAGGTGCGGCGGCCTCCCCAGGGCGCTTACACCTGTTGTGCTGCACATAATTCACAGCCATGTTGGTGGGCACGAAGGACGTCTCACTGTCCTTCTTCTTGTCCTGCTGCTCTGCCAGCAGGCGGGCCTTGGCGTCCTCCGTGGAAATTATGTTTTTGATTTTAGCGCTGCCAGAAGGAACCACAACCCAGGTTAGCTCACTGCGGCTTCGCTATGCAGATGGGCTGACCAGGGAGCCTAGATACCTGCTTAAGGAAACACTGATCTGTCCTAGGATACAGCTCACTCCTAAACTTCTTTATGCCCTCTTCCCCCCACCCCACCCCCGCTTTTTTCCTCTTGAACCTATGATCGTCCAGCCACAGGCTCCTGAGAGCTGAGGTGACAGGTGTGTGCCACCATGCCAAGCCCCCTGGTCACTTTCTTTTTCTTTTTGGTCAGTTGTGGGGCTTGATCTTAGGGCCTGGACACTGCCCCTGAGGCTCTTTATGCTCAAGGCAAGCTCTCTACCACTTGAGGCATAGTGCCACTCCTATGGTCACATTCTTTTTTTTTTGTTGGTTGTGGGGCTTGAACTCTGGGCCTGGGCGCTGTCCCTCAGCTCTTCAGCACAAGGCTAGTGCTCTACAGCTTAAGCCACAGTGCCACTTCTGGTTTTCTAGTGGTTTATTAAAGAGTCCTGCCCAGGCTGGCTTTGAACCATGATCCTCAAATCTCAACCTCCTGAGTAGCTAGGATTACAGTCACATTCTTATGGCTAGCTCATAGCTATGGCAGGACAAGACTTGTTCTCTTTGCATTAAGAAGAAATCCAGCCTGCGAGTGTAACTCAGTAGATCACTTGACTAGAATGTGTGAGGCCCTGAGTTCAATTCACAGAAATCAGATTGCCCAAGGCTCCAGGCTAGTTATACCAAAAAGGAGGCAAGAACCCAGAAGTGTCTGGATTTCTCTGGACACAGCGATGGCTCAAGCCCTTAAAGCAGGGGTAGCTAAGGTTAAAGGAGGCCATGGGGTGTGTGTGTGGGGGGAATTGGAGCAGGGCTTCTTTCAGGCTCTGCCAGGATAACAGTGAGGGAGGGGCCTCGTCAGCTGTGCTCAGCTCAGGGCGCTTCTGCTCCTGCTCTTAGTGTTTAGGTCCCTGAGGGGTCAACTACTAGACCAAGCCTCCTGAAAAGCCCTGGCAACAACCTGCTAGAAGGAATCCAATTCACGTCAGTAGGTTTTTCAAGAATACAGGTAAGAGACAGTCTTCATCATGTGTGTGTGTGTGTGTGTGTGTGTAACTGGGGATGGGAAACAGGGCCTTTCAAGGTGCTGTACCACTGAGCCATAACCCAGCCCAGCCCAGTTCCCCATAACCTTCCCCACCCCTCCCCTCGGTTATGGGGCTTGCTCAGGGTTTGGTAACTGTCCCTAAGCTTTTTTGAGCATTCTACCACAGCACCACTTCCTGTTTCTGGTGGCTCATTAGCAATAAGAGCCTTGAGGACTTTCCTGCCTAGGCTGGCTTTTAACTTCCATCCCCTGATCTCAGCCTCCTGAGTAGGATTAGAGGCTTGCTGTGTTTGATTTGTTTTGGTGCTGGTGCTATACCTTTCGAATGACACCTCTACTTTTCTGGTGGTTAACTGGAGATAGCAGTCTCTTACATTTGTCTGCCTAGGCTGGCTTCAAACCATAATCCTCAGATCTCAGCCTCCTGGGACTGAGAAGTTAGGATGACAGGTGTCAGTCACCCCTGCCCGGCCCCATAGTTAAAAACTGAGAAGCAGGGAGGGCAGAGGGGCCAGGTAGCGCAGTGGCGCGTACTCGATGCCCAGGTCCACCTCAGGGATGCCACTGAGCATCTGGTTGGACAGCATCTCCTCCGTCTTCTTGGCTGAGGAGACTCGGATGTTCTCTGGAAGCTCATAGAGGCAGTCCTCGGCATTCTTCGGCTTTACTTTCTGTTCCTCATGCTCCACGATCCCTTTCCTCTTCTTCAGCTCTGTCTCGATGTACTTCATCCTGACAAGAGAAAGCCCAGGCTCAGCGAGGGCAGGAAGCCCCTGCAGGCACCTTGGAGTCAGCTCCCAGCACCGGCCCACTGGCCTGTGATGGCTCACGAGGGAATTTTCATTAGTCCATGGAGAATGAGAAAATAAAAGTAATGGGTTTATTTTGTTGTGGCTTTGGTTTTTGAGACAGGTAGTCTATGCTAGTATTAAACTCAGATCCTCGTGCCTAAGCTTCCTGAGTGCTGGGATTTGCCCAACTTAATTTTTTTTTATTTGGTCATGGGGCTTGAGTTCTGGGCCTGGGCACTATCCCTGAGCTCTTCGGCTCAAGGTGAGCGCTCTACCACTTGAGCCACAGCGCCACTTCCAGTTTTCTGTTGGTTAATTAGAGGTAAGAGTCTCACAGCCTTTCTTGCTGGCTTTGAACCATAATCCTCTCAGTTCTCAGTCTCCTGAGTAGCTAGGATTACAGGTGTGAGCCATGGGTGCCCAGCTTTAAGTTTTTGTCAAATTACTAATTTTCAACTTAAAAGTACCCAACACAGAAGGTTATGCCCTACTAATCTACTGGCATCGTGAAATGTAAGGTTCTTTTTTTTTTGGGTCCGGTCGTGGGGCCTGAACTCTGGGCCTGGGCGCTGTCCCTCAGCTCTTCAGCTCAAGGCTAGCGCTCTACCACTTGAGCCACAGCGCCACTTCCGGCTTTTTTTCTTTTTGCTTATGTGGTGCTGAGGAATCGAACCCAGGGCCTCAGGCATGCGAGGCAAGCGCTCTACCACTGAGCCACCTTCCCAGCCCCAATGTAAGATTCTTTGAAGTAAAAAAGATGGTCGTTCCGTCTCTTGAAGTCTCTCCAGGGCGTCGCTACGCAGCCCTGGCTGGCCTCAAATTCCTAGTTCTCTTGTCTCAGCCCCTGAGTGCAGGGGTTACAGGGGTGCACAGTCACACCGGTTTTCTAAAAGGTCTTATTGGAAGATCGGAGGGGTTAAGTCCATGTGTATCCCTGGGGAAATGTCATTCATCTTGATCAAGATCAAAGGGCTGGGCTGTGGCTCAAGGTGGGGCAATTTGCCTACCAGGTACAAGGCCTTGAGTTCAATCTTCTCTCAAAAAAAAGAAATTCAAACCCCCAAACCACCATTTTCAAGGACTTTTAAGAGGTTTTCAAATTTCTCAGGTCTGAGAGGCAGTGAGGGGGTGGAGGTCAGCTTGTACATCTCCCAGAAGACCCCAGGAGAGTCATGTGACAAGAGATCCTCCTATGTGGACTGGAGCCCAGCCTCTCAGACTGGCTGACTTACATGTCTGCGTCCTCGTCCCTCCGGTTGGTCTCAGCAGAAAACGACGTCCCCAAGTGTAGGTCCTCCTCTTCGCTGACCCTGTAAGGAGAAGGCAGTGAAGCAAGGCTGCCAGGCTGCAGCTTCAAGGAAGCCAGATACAAAGGATCTCACATCCCGTTCATGACTGTGAGTAGAAAAACTCTAGGAATAAATGTATCTAAACTGTTGGCCTCTGGCAATGCCTCTGCTGAATGAGGGGTTATATTTCTTTGGTAAACTCTGAAGTATTTGGCTGAATTAGTATTAATATTATTGTTGTTGGTCGTGGGGCTTGACCTCTGGGGCTGGGCGCTGTCCTTGCACTCTTCAGCTCAAGGCAAGTGCTTGAGCCACAGAGGCACTTCCAGTTTTCTAGTGGTTTATTGGAGACTTTCCTGCCCAGGCTGTCTTTGAACCATGAACCTCAGATCTCAGCCCCCTGAGTAGTTAGGATTACAGGCGTGAGCCACCTGCGCCCGCTGAATTATTTTTGTTATTGATTTTATATGAAACTTCCCCATTGGCCTTTAAGAGTAGGCAGAGTACAAAAGGCATCTCTCACTCAGCCGAGTGAGCTATCAGTCCTTGCTTCCTTTCTTTTTTCTTTTCTTTTTTTTAATAGGTTTTATTTTGTTTTTGTGCCCATACTGGGGCTTGAACTCAGTGCCTGGTTACTGTCCCTTACCTTTTTTGTTCAAGACTGACACTCTACCATTTTAGCTACAGCTCTGATTCTATCTTTTCTGCTGGTTAATTGGAGGTAAAGAGTCTCTCAGATCTGTCTATTTGGGCTGGCTTGGAAACTCAATCCTCAGATCTCAGCCTCCTGAATAGCTAGATTACAGATGTGACCCACCAGTGTCTTGATTAAACAGTCTGTTTTTGAGAATGAAAGTTGAAGTCTTTAAGTTGAGTACTCATAGTTCATGCTTGTAATCCTAGCTACTATGGAGGCTGAGATCTGAGGATCACAGTTCAAAGCCAGCCCAGGCAAGAAAATCCATGAGCCTCTTATGTCCAATTAACCACCAAAAAGCTGCAAGTGGAGCTATGGTACAAGTGCTAGAGTGCTAGCGTTGAGCAAAAAACAAAACAAAAGGGGCTGGGAAGGTGGCTCAGTGGCAGAGCGCTTGCCTTGCATGCCTGAGGCCCTGGGTTCGATTCCTCAGCACCACATAAAGAAAAAAGCCAGAAGTGGCGCTGTGGCTCAAGTGGTAGAGCGTTAGCCTTGAGCTGCAGAGCTGAGGGACAGCGCCCAGGCCCAGAGTTCAGGCCCCACGACCGGAACCCAAAAAAAAAAACAAAAACAAAAGAAAAATGCACACAAACTCAGGGACTGCAACCGCGCTCTGAGTTCAAGGCCTATTACTGGCACAAATAAACTAAAATAAAATAAAACATTGAAGCCTTAGAATAATCCACAAGCTTCATGGAAGCATTAGTACCATTCCAAAATACTAAGCCATTTGGAAATCAAAGTCTTTGGAAGAAAATAGGAATGTATACATATCCCTATTACTCCTGTACCAATTTTCTTTAATAAAGTCAAAAGTGTTTTCTTTTTTTCTTTTTGGGTCCGGTCGTGGGACCTGAACTCTGGGCCTGGGCGCTGTCCCTTAGCTCTTCAGCTCAAGGCTAGCGCTCTACCACTTGAGCCACAGCGCCACTTCCGGCTTTTTTCTTTTTGCTTATGTGGTGCTGAGGAATCGAACCCAGGGCCTCATGCATGCAAGGCAAGCGCTCTACCACTGAGACACCTTCCCAGCCCTCAAAAGTGTTTTCTATCTAGTTATAATACTTGTTTTTTGTTTTTGTTTTGGCCAGTCCTGGGGCTTAGACTCAGGGCCTGGGCACTGTCTCTGTGCTCAAGGCTAGCACAATGCCACTTGAGCCACAGCTCCAATTCTGGCTTTTTCTGTGTATGTGGTACTAAGGAATTGAACCCAGGCTTCATGCATGCTAGGCAAGCACTCTACCACTGAGCCACCTTCCCAGTCCCTACCTGTTGTTTTAACAACACACTGCAAAGCACAACCATGACTTGTGGACATTGCATCAGAGGTAGACTTGCCTGCCCAGCTCTGAGGGTTCTGGGGAGCCTGTATCTATGCCTACCAGGTACTTACTTATCTTTGCCCCTTTCCTTCAGTTTCTTCATGTCCACCATGCCACCTGTCTTCATCTGGAAGGGATCGTCCTGCAGAAAGCAGACACGCAGATTAGGCAGTAGAATTACTATTATTTCTAAAGAAAGCACAATTGCCCACACAATAGTAGGTACCAGGAGGGTCCCATACTCACCACCAGAGTAGTCTCTTCTTGTACCTTCTCTCCCACCAGCAGGGCAGCAGCACTGAGCAAAACAAAAAGAAATGACAAAATTTAAAGTTGAAAAAGAACACAGGAAGTTTGAAGGTTGCAATTTTAATTCAAGGGCTAGATTTGAGATAGGCAGAAAAGCCAGCTGCAAAAGCCACAAGAATAAAATAAGCTGGGTGCTGGTAACTATGCCTATAATCCTAACTACTCAGGAGGCTAAAGTCTGAGGATGAAGGTTCCAAGCCATTTTGGGAAGACAAATCTGAGAGACTCATAGTGACTTGAAAAAAAAAAAGCAGAGAATAAAACTGCTTATAAAATTGCTCAGCTGGCCGGGCGCTGGTGGCTCCCGCCTGTAATCCTAGCTACTCAGGAGGCTGAAATCTGAGCATCGCGGTTCAAAGCCAGCCCAGGCAGGAGACTGTGAGACTCCTATCTCCAATAAACCACCAGAAAACCGGAAGTGGCGCTGTAGCTCAAGTGGTAGAGCGCTCACCTTGACCTGAAGAGCTGAGGGACAGTGCCCAGGCCCAGAGTTCAAGCCCCACGACCGACAAAAAAAAAAAAAAAAAATTGCTCAGCTGGAGCCAGGCACTCGTGGCTCACGCCTAAAATCCTAGCTACTCAGGAGGCTGAGATCTGAGGATCGAGGTTCAAAGCCAGCTTGGGCAGGAAAGTCCATGAGACTCTTATCTCCAATAAATCACTAGAAAAAAAAACTGAAGTGCTGCTGTGGCTCAAGCGGTAGACCACTGGCCTTGAGCTGAAGAGCAAAGAGACAGCGCCCAAGCCCAGAGTTCAAGCCTCACAACTTACAAAAAAAAAAAAACACCAAACCAATTCTCAGCTGGGAGCCAGTGGCTCACGCCTGTAATCCTAGCTACTCAGAAAGCTGAGATCTGAGAATCGTGGTTTAAAGCCAGCCCGGGCAGGAAAATGTGTGAGACTCATCTCCAATTAACCACTAGAAAACCTGAAGTGGTTCTGTGGCTCAAGTAGTAGAGCGCTAGCTTTGAGCTGAAGAGTTCAGGGAAAGTGCCCAGGCCGAGTTCAAGCCCTAAAACCGACAAAAACCCAATCAAAAACAATGTTCATAATCTCTGAAAAAGAGAAGAGATGTTGGAAAGAACATTAAATGTTAGCATTTTTTGCCTCTGGATGAAAAAGAAACATGGGTGCTATTTTTCTTTTCGATTGTACTCTTCTGAATTTTCCAACTCATACCAGTCGACCTGTACTTTACAATGAATCCCATACAATAAAAACTCGGGTGATGTTTCTGTATGTCCGGAGCACCCTCCAAGATCACCAGGCTCAAAGTATGTCGTGGTTAAAAGTTTGCCAAGAACCCTCTTAGGGCGATAGTGTATCAAGAGGAAGGGATGTGTCTAAAGAGAGATTCATGGCCGAGGCCCAAGTTGGGGAGTAGTTCTGTCCTCGCCCCCATCCTTATTCTCCGGCTGCGGTACCCACCTCACCCCATTGGGCCTCTTCCTCAAGTTCTGCACTTCTCGGGTCTCCTCCAGCTTCAACCTGAAAAGCGGGGCGAGGGCAATGCACGCAGGTTGAGAGCTCCTCCGCAGAGCCCAGAATCAACGTCCAGTGTCGCAGGTGCCCCCTTGCACAGCTGCCAGCACCGCGGTCCGCGGCGCCGGGCATTTCCGGCAGTCAGATCCGTGCGCGTCCCGGGACACCGGGCCCCAGTGAGGCCGGGGGCGGAGGCATCGTCCCGGGAGCCTCAAAGCGACAACCCCAGCTCACGGGTACGGCATCCCCGGCCAGTCGCGGCCCACGACAGCCCCTCCCCAAACGCACCGAACCTCCTCTGAATCCTGTTCATCTTCTTCCGACTCCGAGTCGGCCCGCCGGCGGCGGAAGATCTTCCCGGTGACCGGCATCGTGAGAACGGCCCCGCGGTCCAGCCGCCGAGCCCCTGTGCTGTGGCCCGCGCCTCTTCCGGCGCACAGCAGTGCTGTCAGAGCGCCGGCCCCGCCCCACCCCGCCCGGCCCCGCCCCGGCAGGCCCCGCCCCCGCCCTGGCGTCGGCCTCTTCCGATTGGACGAGCGAGAGGGACGGGGAGGGGCGCGGCTGAGCCGAGCCCCGCGACCCTCCGCGACGCGGCGGAGGGCGCGCTTGACTGACAGGCGGCGCCGGCGCGGTTGCGATGGCAGGTGAGTTCCGGGCCGCCGCCGGCTGTTTCAGGGGACCCAGGCCTCTCCTAGCGGGGACGGCTCCGTCCCGCCGCAGGCTGCTGAGGCCTGACTCGGCCAGGTGCGCCGAAGGCCTCGGCCAGGTGAGCGGAGTCCGGGCCGCCCTGGCCGCCCTGCTCCGCTCGGGTGGCGTCCGGGGGCGGAGGCCTTCGGGGCTCAGCGCCCCGCTTCCAGACCCTGGGCGGCTCACGCACGGGGCCGGCGGCCCTCACCGCTGCCGGGCCCGACACGCGCCGGAGGCGTGAGCGTAGCCTCTGGGGCCCTGACGGGCATTTTCTTTAATGAGGGGACAAAAGACGATCGCTTCTCAGCCGGGGTGAATCTCAGCCCGCGCGGCCCCGGCCCGGCCCGGCGGCCTCCGCCACTTCTGCCCGGGACCGAGGGCGCCTGGCTGGGATTGAGAGCCGTGGCTCCCATCGGGCTGCCGGCCGGCCGCCTCCCAGCCCCTCCTCGGGCCTTGTTTCCTTCCCTTTTGCTAAGAACGACATGTCACTCGGTCCTGGGCACCTTCCACCCCTAAAATGTTGCCAGGATGCGATGTACTTGGAAATCGGCTATCAGCAAACCCCTAGGAAACTGAATAAGTGCATCAACAGTGGCCCTGGGGACTTTTAGCAATCCCTGAAGCAATAGTTTCCTTTTCTCTATGGGGGGCAGAGGGGGACTCTGTCCAAAAACAAAAAGTATTGCTTTATTCTAAGCTTTATTCTCCGTGAATTCTCCCAGCAATCCTATGATGTAGATTCGATTGATTCTCATTTTTGCAGATGAGGCTTACTGAGGCTCGCAAAAGCAGTGTGTTCCCCAGGTTATCCAGCTGTGAGGTGGAGCAGGGGTCGGTGACAGGTCTGTCGCAAGTCACTGGTACACTGGCTTCAGGCAGCCAGTGCTGCTGTTCTTACAGCTTGCCGGTGGGGGAGGGGCAGATGGAGAATTTTCTGGAAGACTATTCTAAAGCTGGGCAGCGTTTCTGGAGTGACTTGCTTTTTTGTGTCTGTTCTTTTTCCTTTATCTTTTTTTTTTTTTTTCTGGTAGTTAATTGAAGATAAAGAGTCACGCCGATTTTGGAGGGGGGGGAACCTGGGCTGGCTTTGATCTTGAGACCTCAGCCTCCTGAGAAGCTAGGAATTACAGGCATGAGCTCACCTCTTTCTTGGACAGATATAGATACAGATAGTGGGACTTTCTGCAACTGTCTTTTGTCCTTGGTCAGAAAGCCAGATACAGAAGTGGAAGTGTGATTCAAGTGGTAGAGCATCAACCTTGAGCAAAACTGCCAACTGAAAGCAGTAGCCCTGAGTTCATGCTCCGCTACTGACTCCCCCCCCCCCCCCAAAAAAAAATCAAGATATGCAAAGTGTCAAAGTCTTGTCCTCTGCAGATTGTTTCAGCCAAACATGACGTTTGCTGGACTCCATGTGCCCCTGCACAGAGGAGAGGCTCCGTGAGAATTTTTGCACAGTCCCAAGGACTTGTGTCCACAGCTATCAGTCTCTCCAAAGTGGCTTTGAATTTGCCAGAGTAGCAACACTCCCTTTGGTGTACCACACTTGGTGGTACTATGCCGTGTTTAAGAAAAAGGTCAGAGGGCCGAGAGTATTCTAGACTACCCTCATGTGAGATCTCCAGAAAGACATACATGGTATAAATATACTACCCTCCTTTCCGCCCCTCCCCACAAAGCCAGAGTGCCCTATGACGCCCACATCCTGTGCTATGACAGATCAAGTGGAGTCTTGTTCAGCAAAGGTGATATTGAAAAAGTGCCAGCTGGGACTTGGCAATAGCTGGCTGGGCCAAGGACTAGTTCCTACTCCCATCTTGCTGGACCGATTCTCCAAAGGAACCTCTAAGAAATTTAGGTTGTGCTCAGTTCAAAGATGCATCTTACATTTTAATGTTGTTTGAGAGTTTGGTTGGTGCTGGGTTGGCTTGTTAGCTCCTTTGAGAACTAAATGCAGCAGTGGCATGTTGCAGGGCTCTAGAAGCTATTATCAAAATCTGGATAAAGCCAGGTGCTGGTGGTTCACACCTGTAATCCCAGCTACTCAGGAGGCTGAGATCTGAGGATTCCAATTCAAAGCCAGCCCAGGCAGGAAAGTCCATGAGACTCTTATCTCCAATTAACCACCAGAAAACCAGAAGTAGAGTGGTGGCTTAAAGTGACAGAGTGCTAGCCTTGAGAAAAAAGTTGCTCAGGGACCGTGCCCAGGCTCAGAGTTCAAGCCCCAGGACTGGGAAAAAAAAAAAAAAGAGCTCAGGGACAACCCTTAGGCCCCTGAGTTCAAGCACCATGACTGACAAAAAGAAAAAAAAAATCTGCATGGATTTGGAATCCAGCAGAAGTGATGCAGTTCTCTGCTCACTCACAGCAAGCACTCAATAAATGCTCTTTGGGCTAATGTCTTCTTTGAGAGATGTTTTCTGGCATTTACTATGTAAGTTAGGCCCTGTGTTAAAGATTCCTATTCTAATGTAAGTGTTCCCTATTCTAGTGCTTATATTATAATAACTTAAAGTTTGAAGGTGACAAGTGCTTTGGAAAAAAAAGTAGACTGCAGGGAGTTGGTTGGGGAAGGAGTGGCAAGTTGCAAGTTTAAGTTAGTATATTCTAGTTTGTGATCTACTTGGTGCTGTCACAGACAGTGCAGTGTATCAACTTAAAGGCCCTGGGCCCAAGTCCCTGTTCTGCCAGCTTGCCAGGTGCATCTGGCTGGCAGCCTTTCCTGCCGTGGAGTCCCTGCTCTGCCATCTAGTAGCTCTGTGAGCTTTGGCATGAACCTCTGACCTTCAGCTGTTTGGAGATTTTAGGCGATTTACAGATTTACACTGGAACTTTGGGTATGTATGTGTGCATGTGTGCTCATGCGTGGTGGAGGGTAGGGGTCCTGGGCCTAGGTGCTGTCCCTGAGGTGTTTTTTTTTTTTTTTTTTTTTTTTTTATTGTAAAGCTACTATACAGAGGGTCACAGTTACATGAGTGAGGTTATGAGTACACTTCCTCTTGAACATTGTTACCCCCTCCATTGTTTTCCCCCTACCATCCCCTCCCTCCCTCCCTTCCCCGAGGTTCTTTTTTTTTTTTTTTTTTTTGATTGTGATTAAATGATTACATAATTTCAAAGTCACAAGTTCATTCTAACTTCCCTGGAGCAAATTGTCTACCACAGTCTGTAATATATAACAGTGTTCACATGTTATATACCATATTTGTGATCAGCAGCATGAGGATATTTAGTAGTGGTTCAACCAGATGAGCGGGAGTTCTTTGTTTCTTAAGTCCTGTTAGTTTTGTCGTATCACTAACCTTTTGGATTTAGCATCCACTTATGAGGGAGACCATGTACCGTTTGTCTCTTCGTTCTTGGCTTACCTCGCTCAACATGATTCCTTCTAGCTCCATCCATTTCCCTGCAAATGCCATTATTTTGTCATTTCTAATGGCTGCATAATATTCCATTGTGTATAGATACCACAATTTTTGGATCCATTCATCTGTGGTGGGGCACCTAGGTTGTTTCCATATCCTAGCTATTGCGAACAGTGCTGCAATAAACATGGAGGTGCACGTGTCCTTGTATATTGGTTCCTGTTGTTCAGGGTAGATGCCTAGAAGTGGTATGACTGGGTCGTAAGGGAGGTCAATCTTTAGCTTTCTAAGGACCCTCCAGACTGCTTTCCAAAGTGGTTGTATAAGTGTACATTCCCACCAGCAGTGTAATAGGGTTCCTCTTTCTCCACATCCCCTCCAGCATTTGTCGTTGGCTGATTTGTGGATGTGGGACATTCTGACTGGGGTAAGGTGGTATCTCAGGGTTGTCTTTATTTGCATTTCCTTCACCACCAGGGATGATGAACATTTCCTCATGTGTTTCTTTGCCATTTTTATTTCTTCATTTGAGAAGTCCCTCTTTAGTTCCCTTGCCCATTTAGTAATTGGTTTGTTAGGTTTGGGAGGGATTAGTTTCTTGAGTTCCCTGTATATACAGGATGTTAACCCCTTGTCTGATATATTGCTGGTAAATATTTTTTCCCAATTAGTTGGTTGTCTTTCTAGCTTAGTTGCGATAGATTTAGCTGTGCAGAAGCTTTTTATTTTAAGGTAGTCCCATTTGTCGAGTCTCTCTCCAACTTGTTGTGACCCTGGGACTCTGTTCAGGAAGTTCCTTCCTGTGCCTATTAGTTCAAGTGTCTCTCCTACTCTGTCCTGCAGTAGTTTCAGAGATTCAGGTTTAATGTTAAGGTCTTTAATCCATTTTGAGTTGATGTTGGTGCATGGTGATAGGCTGGGGTCCACTTTTAGTTTTCTGCATGTGGCTGCCCAGTTTTCCCAGCACCAGCGGTTGAAGAGGCTGTGTTTCTTCCATTGTATGTCTTTGGCTCCTTTGTCGAATATCAGCTGGCTGTAGGCCTGTGGATTTATATCTGGATCTTCTATTCTGTTCCATTGGTCTTCGGGTCTGTTTTTGTGCCAGTACCATGCTGTCTTTGTGATTATAGCTCTGTAGTAGAGTTTGAAGTTCGGCATGGATAGCCCTCCCATATTGTCTTTATCCCCTAGAATTGTTTTGGCTATTCTAGGTCTTTTGTTGTTCCATATAAATTTTTGGACTGTTTTCTGTATTTCAGTGATGTACGTCATTGGGATTTTAATAGGAATTGCATTGAATTTGTATATTAATTTTGGAAGTATCACCATCTTTACTATATTAAGTCGGCCTATCCAGGAGCATGGGAGGTCTTTC